CGTTAAGTACCGTTCACAGTAAGAATTAATGCCGCAGAATTGCAGTGCGCTTGCAGTAGAATATCTTGGCTCGGTGCAGCAATGTGTAGCCGTTTACATAAATCTAGCACGTATTAATGATGTTGTACCGCGGTACGGAAGCACGCGAAGTCTACAAATTCTAGGAATACTACTGCATTGTGGAAACTAATGGATCAAATAATTCGCCAATTTGGCGAATAAAAAGAAAATCTTCGTATAAAATGTAAAATAATATTTTGTTCCTCTTGGATAATAGCATCGTACATTTTCTAAAAATTTTCGTAGAAAAGACGAAGTCGTAGCAGTGAAAAGATAATACGCACGTTTAATATAAAATTATATATTTATTATTATTTAATTACTATTCTTTCGTATCACATTATAATTTATATTCAATATAAAAAAATGTATATTCAAAAGACAGAGTTTATTAATTCCTTCTTTTTATTCTCGATAAAAATTTTAATCGCTCAAGAGAAACGATATTTCAAATTAATTAAAAATTCAATGAAATCAATAAAATGGAAAAATTTCTGCATTTATTAAATCAATTCTCGAATATGTCGACTCGATAGACATCATCTTCGTCAACAAGAATTTGTTAATAAAGAACTTTTAAATTAATTTCTTTTGTTAATTAATTAATGATTAATTTAATTATAAAATATTGATTTCTTATAAACACAGTAAACACTCGCGAAATTAACTAGAATATATCATCTACACAACACCAATGAGCCTCGTGTGAACGATACCTTGAGCAATCGATTTTTATATGCACATTACGTGTCGATCGGTCAACACGTGATGGCCCGTCAACCTGTTTCTCATCGATGCCTCTCGCTCTCATCGACGCTCATTTACGCGATGGTTAATAGACAATCAAGCGGCCGAAGCAGTCGAGCAAATTGTTTCGATCGACTGCCGCTTCCGGCGTCGTTCGAGGTCGCGGATGATTGCCTCGTTTGCCTCGTTTTAGTGTCATTTAATTATTTTTCCCCGGTCCTATAAAATCGCCATAACCCCGTGCCCATATTCATAGTCGATCAATGAGTCATTGAATCACCGAAATAATTCAACGAAAGATAATGGAAATGCGCGCGAAGGTACGAGTAGATCGAGAGAGAAAGAAAGAAAGAGAGAGAGAGAGAGAGAGAGAGAGAGAGAGAGAGAGAGAGAGAGAGAGAGAGAGAGAGAGAGAAGAAGAGAACCATTCTCTTGAGAGCAAGTTATAATTTCGTTTTTAATTGCAACTACAAAATCACGACTTGTTTTAGTGTCAGATGAAGCTAATATCTATGAAAATCATACGAGCGAAAAGTTCGAGTTGTAAACATTATCTCTTTTATGTTATATTTTTATTTTTTTGAAGAGAAAAAGTTTTCTGCATTTGAAATTCTTTTTTTTTTCATATATTTTAATATTTGTTTTTAAATCCTATATTAAAATTTAAAGTGGAATTTAAGTTTTGATAAAGATGTGCAAGACGACAAAGTAATATGCGCTTATATGATATGATATTATATTTGCGTGTTCTAATTATATATGGCAACGCAGTAAAATTCACATAAAGTGGCATTTGTCGAATATTTGGCAAATGATAGCATCGCCTGGTCGTTTCATGAAAACGAAAACAAAAGTAATATGCGAATGCAGTAAAAACAAACAATCAGTCGTTTGCAAGAATCAGTAGTTCGAATGCAATTGGTCAACCGATGCAGTAGTATAATGTAATCTTGCGTCGGACTAAAGAGTGACAAATAAGTCAGCTCGCAAGCGAGGAGAACGTTTCTTATTCCATAAACTTGATGTGTTTTATTCCAGATTTCGAAGTTATATAAAGAGATCTTAAAGTCAAAAATAAAAAATTTAAAAAAAATAACTCGATCTCATATTTTTCTCGAAACTAAAAAATCACTCGATTCATTCTGTTTTACTCTGTATTATTTCCTGTATTGCAAATATGTATATGTATCTCTCTCATTCTTACCCTCCCTCTAATTCTCTCATACACTGAATTAATTAATTTTGATGCCTAAAACGAAACAATATAGGCATAAATAAATAAACATTAGCATTATATGAATTAATTAAACATACGGAAAAATTGTAATCAAATTAAACAACTGTTCGATCATTTTATAGCACTTACAATAATGAAATAGACTATCAAATTGAAATAGAGAGATAGTTATTTAGTAATGGCAATCATTTCACGCAATCTATATCATGTAATCTGACATTTAGCAAAATACATATTTTCATGGTTTATCGGTTTCATCGAATTAAAAGAAATATGAGAGCTATTTATTGATTCATTTAATCATTTCCCTTACATTGCCGTTTAGCCCTAAATTTATGAGCAAGAATAAAGTTCTGAACTATAATAAAACGGAAAAGAGAGATCAATTACAAGGAAATTATTAGGGAATAGTCAATTATTATTCATACGTATTAAAAATATAATTCTATTATAATTTTTCATATCCAACTAATGCTAAATCAAGAATAATCTCGTATTATTAAAAATTTACTTATCTAGAAAAAAAGAAAGAAGCTAAATTTTATAGAAGTTATAAACTACAATCTCAGAATACGTAATTGGAGGAAGAGTGTAATTGACGCATTCCTTGAGCCGCCCTTGGATCCGCTAGGATTAAACATCGATGGGTCAAGGGCATACATATATGCTTCGATACTCGATTTGTGTGAAATGTATCTCAAAACTTGACAAATTAAAACCACCCAGCATCTCCATTCTGCGAGAAATATCTATCGCACAATAATATCCCAGACCAACAACCGTTTGTTGTTCGACGTGTTTACGTTTTCGCTACTAAACACGCATTTTCGCCCTAAAATAAGCGTTCTCTCGTCTCTTCGTACGAGATAAAAACCTCAGGGACATGAAATATACATATAAATTTATTACATTTTTATATACAGCGTAATTCCCTCTCGATCGGAGGACGTTTCAATACCCACGGATTCGCCACCCTCCGAAACGCGATTTCCATGACGATTTAGTAGCAGAGCGTAACCGTGACGGGTAAAAGGAAAAGCGACGAAACAGGTTTCGGGGCCCCGCAACGTTCGTAATGCTCAAATCCTCCCATTGTCAGCGTCGCACAATGGGAATCTTTCTACCACACGCGGCGCGCTTGTTGCTCCGACTGTGCGGCTGACTAAACTTTGCCCGATCACCACGTGCGGTGCGCATCCCGCCGCACACCCCCAGTAATTTCTTGCACAAACGGTGTAGGTACTCCGGTGTATACGCGCCGAGAACCGTAGGAGGGAATGGAAGCGCGAGAGGGTGAGGAAAACGAGTGAGGGAAACGAGAAGAGCCACCGTGCGGAGGAGAAAAAGGAGAACCGTCGCCGCAGCCGCTCTGAGAGAAGAGGGAAAGAGAGAGAGAGAGAGAGAGAAGAGAGAACTGTGCCACTGTGAAAAGCGGCTATGCGCGCCGTGTAGGATTCGCCTGGGGATAGGTCAATCAATGACCTATTTAAGGAGTCTTCAGACCGGTCTCCCTCCACCGTGCTCGCTATCGAGGTTATTCGCAGTGATAAACGCTGCGAGATAGAGCGATGCTGCGTTCAGCAAATGGGGCGGAAGCGAAATTCGCGTTTGCAGGGTGCGAATTGTACTCGTAAATTCTTTCAAACGAGACGTCTCGAAGACGAAAATAGAGCGATTAAATGTACTCTCCAAGAGAGCTTTCATATGTCGGGGGATCGCAAGGGAGAGCAATTATTCGTGCTTCGATAAATATCAATTAATAATCGAATCTTTCGAATCAATTTGCTAGTATGTGTAGTTCTGTCATCAAAGTGTCTTTCAGAAGAAAAGTTTTTTAATCTCTTTTTCCGCAAAGTAAATATGTTTTCTTATTTCACGTTGTTTTCCCACTTTCAGGATTAAGTCCATTCGGTCTATTTAACATCAATCATTATAATCTAATAGATGTTTTATCAAACTTTAAAAAGAAGTCTCTGATGAGAGAAAAGTTTCTACTTTATTTTTCGGTTTCATATGTAATTTTTTTTATCTATAAAGATAGCTTCCCCCTTATCTTCGATATAATAACCGATGACGTAAAAAAGTATCGATGTTAATTATCAACCTATTAACATAACATGTGTTATAACGCGATTGATTTATCGGTATCAAATTAAATTCGTCGTAACTACATCCTGAGTGAATGTATCCTAGAACAAGCGCCAATATTATTGACAATCTGGTTAATATGCATGTATTGATATCGAGCTTTATCAGATCTTATCTGATAATCCGCTACACATTACTTAGCAACTTAGGAAAATCAACAAAATGCGATAGTTACTACGGTGAATGCTGACGCACGCGCAACCTTGTAGCCAGAGAGATGAAATAAATTCCTAATGAAGATCGACTGGAACAGTTCGCACCAGCTTGAACGACCATGAAAAGTGAGAACCTGTGCTTGTAAAATATATACAAAGATGCTTTGCACAAAAGCTAGAAACTCGATATCCAATGTAATCGATTCTAATTCTGTTTTGGGGAAAAATATTTTCTGAGTCTATAAAATAAAAACAGATTAAAGTATATAAATGTCAAGAGAAGAAATTTGATAAAAAATTTCTTAATTATTAAAAAACTTCATTTCATTATCATATTTCCTGACTTATTATAAGCATTTTTTCGTAAAAACAATTTTCCTAATTTTTCAAATACCTTTTAGAAATCTGGGAGACAACCCAACTTGAATTTTCTTTAAATATTTCTAAAATTTATTTAAACATTTCAAAAATCTTTTAATCAAATTTCTTGACATATCTATTAAATATATTTTTATGTGTATTAGTTAAAAAAATATTTGTATATATATATATATATATATATATATATATATATATATACATATATGAAATCATGCATGCAAATCAAATCCTATAAAAAACATTTACTATATCGAGAAGTATCAAAAGGATATGGATTAGTGATAAATGCAAGACACCAGTTGCGCGGTCGTGTGCTCTGGTCGAGATATCTGAGAGCAATTGGAACGAAACCTGGATAGGGTAGATCCTCGCCTTCCTCCTCCTCCTCATCCTCATTATCCTCATCGTCGTCATCGTCGTCGTCATCGTCGTCGTCGTCGTCGTCATCATCGTTCTCGTCATCCTCATCGTTCTCGTCATTCTCGTCCCCCTCTTCTTCCATGACTCGTCTTTCAGCGGATCCGCGAGTCTCATCCTCGTCCTCGTCGTCCTCGAGGTCGCTGAGCTCCGCTACGTCGCTATCGGAGCCCTGTTCCCCTCCGGCCCCGATCCCGCCGCTTGTCTTTGACGCGGATCGGTACCGGTATCCCTGAGGATAGTGCAGCGACATTCTCGGAGTCCCTGTTTCTCTCGAGCGCGACGTTTCTCCAGCGACTCCGGAGAGGTCCTCAACGACGTTGCGGCCTCCTCGGTGCCTGGAGCTGCGTGAGGCGACGATTCGGAGACTCCTCGCAGGGAGAGATTCTCATCGCCTTTGCTTCGCGTCCGTCCCTTTCCGCACGTTCTTGACTACTGGCGCGAATAATCAGTTGATTTTAACAACGTCATTCCTTCTCGTCAATCCTTTTCCTCGCGAGGATTATCTCCTCCGAGCTCTTATCTTAACTCTCCAGCTCTCCACACGTTGGTCCACACTGAGGCAGCGAGCGATTGTCCACCGATTGCATCTTACATCGGGTAGACAGCAGATCTAAGCAGATGTGCACCTCTCGACGCGCCTGTCCGCTATTTCTCTCACCTGCGCTTCTCACCTGGGGACGTAGCGAGCGCGCAGTAACCTTGCCCCGATATCGCGGTATTCCCGAAGGATGAACGCGCGCAAATTTCACCACGAGGTCATACGCTCTTTAAGCGAAGTTCTTCTTTTCGAGAGAAGGACAGTCGGTGGCGCGATCAGATTCAGAAGAAGAGAACACGCGTGAAGCGCGTGGCCGAGAACTGATCCACCACCTGGTCTCTTTCGTTTCCAGCTATCCTCCTGGGTCCGTAATTTTTTCCTCTTCCAGATGCGGGTTCTATCGACCGCGACGTCGGTCGCGCGAACACGCGGACACTGAACGTGGATTGTCGTCCGCGAGTGAAGGATGATCGCGGATGTTGCACGGCACGGTGGTGGTAGCAGCTGAACGCCGCGCGATCGCGGCCGTATTCAACGACGACGACGGTGCCCGACGCAGCGTCGACCGGTGACTGAAAAAAACGTCGAACATCCTCGACGCCGATGGTGGTGGACGCATGCGCGACCCCGGTGTGCGTATCCCTTGCCTCATCCGCGCGTCTCGCGACCTCCAACATCCTCTCCCCCGGAGAAAATCCGGAGATCTTCCTACTCTTTCCCACCTCTCCCACGCTTCCCGGCCGCGCGCCCCATCTTCTTCTCCACCACTTCCTCCTGCTCCTCCCGGTCGGTCGACCGAAGCTCCTTCGCGAATTGAGAGGAGCAAGACGGAGAGGGAAAAAGAGAGAGAAGGAGAGAAACAGAGGGATGGAGCAGTGAGACTGAAGAGGATCCGACAAAGTCCTTGAGATCCTCGCTTTCACTTTCGGTGTCGACTAAGTGACACTTGTGTTTTTTTTCGCGCCACCATTTGCCGCGAGGGTGCTATCACACTTATCGAAACTTCGATATGTTGGGTTAATTGATGAGGATCACACACAGCATACATCGCGTGATCGACACCGTGACCAATTTCTCCAGGGGTGCGAAAAGCGATCGAGCGGAAAGCAAGTTCAGCGAAAGAGAAGTTCGTTTCTTCGGGTTGTGTCGAATAATGGAGAAAAGGGCAAAGAAGGGGAAACATCGATAATACTTGAGGGTGTAGTTGATAGATGATTGTTCGATGGCATATAGTCGAAGAATTGAACTTTCGATAAAGGCGATAAAAAGTCGTGACAATTTCATTTTTACATCGTTAAATTTAATGTCTCAAGGTAACGACAACCTTTAAAAAACATTCCACCGTGCTTGGTGCGCTGAAAGAGAAATGTCAAAAATAATGTGTCACAAATAGAAATGCTTTTCATAAATAGAAATGAAGATTGACAATTCCATCAAATTAAATATGCAACTTATGTTATAATAATATTGTTATATTTGAAAATTATTACTGATTAATAATTGATATATAACCATTAATTAATATGATGACAATTTTTTATTTAAAAAATTTGATTGACATATGTACTTATACTTTTTCACATGTAACATTTTTACATGAATGTTTGAAATTACTATTTTAAGATCTTTCTCAACAAGATATATATATACATATATCTTGTTCAGAAAGAGAGAGAAAGATCTTAAAATAGTAATTTCAAATATTCATATAAAAATGTTACATGTGAAAAAGTATAAGTACACATGTCAATCAAATTTTTCTAAAACATTGCCATCATATTAATTAATGATTATAAATTAATTATTAATTAATAATTATATCAATTATTAATCAATTTTATATATATATATATATATATATATATATATATATATATACTATATATATTTAAGTGCTATGAATTTTGAAAGAAATATATAACAATTTTATAATTATGTTCTACACATACTTATCGAAATTCGATTAATTATATATAATACTTTATAATATTGCATTAACATATACATCATGCCACGAAAAGCATAAATAGCAATCTTTGATATTTTACCCATTGCTGTTTTCTAACGGAAATTTTGATGATTAAGTCAAAACTGAAACATCATAACGCTCACCGAGACTTACTATACATTTTGTCTATTTTTGTTCGGAAATCGGAGGAAATAGAGAAAGTCCAGACCACATGCATATCGCGCTATTACGTGAATATTCGAACGTAAAGACAAGTTAGTCACGGCGATAATCAACTGATACTAGATATGCAATTAAAGTCAAAGTTATGTCCGGAAACGATCAAGTTCGTCAGAGATTACAAACGCACCATCGTCGACCTTAATCTATTCCACACGCGTAGCTGAAAATAGAAATCAACCACGCGCGTTCCGCGTGTTTAGTCATTTCAAGTGGCTGACATAATATGCAAAATTTTTGACATTTCGCAAAACATATTCCTCCGGGATTTTGATAATTAATAAAGAGAGAAAGAGAGAGAGGAAAACTGAGGCTTGACATTTTTTTTGTACTTGCGAGTTTATTCAGAATAAAGATGGACGCTTATGATGCGATATACAGCTGGATTATCGCGCAAAGTTATTGTTGTATATCGCATCGTATACATCCCTACTGGATACATCTCTTGGCTGCGACATGTTATCGATCCGTTAGCGTTTACGAACGCTAGGGCGACTACTCTCGCTATACCAACCTCTCTGCGGACTAATGTTACATTATTTAACACAGTAAATCTTTTTTATGAGGGGCGAGCGCGCAAAGATATATATCGGTGAATATATTTTGGCGAGATTTTTCCCTCTTTCGCCATCGTTGATGCAGCGGGCGATATAAGCATGTCGAGCGAGTTCGCCGCTCACAAGTTGGAAAATTCAGTATCGTCCAATTGAGAAGCGAGCTCGCTAGGATTCGTAATGGGTATAGAACACGCCTGACGTCGACATACTAAAACTGTCGCCCGGCCCTTCTGCGGTTTCAGTTTACTAACGACTGCATTCTTACGTAATAACACGTTGTCCTGTTGCTCGGGATCAGCTAATAAGAGCACTCTACCTGGTATCACACGCTCGCGGATAACATTCAGCATTTCAATTGTATCTTCGGCATCCGGTCTTCCCGCAATATAAATCTGGAAAGAAAAAATCCACATTCTGTAAAAGACTGTACCGAAAACGTGTTTCCGCGAGTGTCTTAAATTCGCATCGTCATCGTCAAAGTACTCGTAAGAAACGGAAAACACGTACCTGCGTTGCATTGTGATACTCGAGCAATGCTAACGTCAGTTGCGGAAACATAATCGGCATCTCCGTGAGTCCTTTACCAAATGCGGATAAAAGCTGCCCAGCTTTGTCTTTGAGCTCGCTACGATCCAGATAGGTTGCCAATCGCAATAAATTGGAACACGCGATAGAATTACTGGACGGTTCCGCGCCATCGTGAGCTACAGTAAAATTCATTAAACGTTAGATATTTTCAATAGCTTTTTACTATTTTGACAGTTCGTGACTAGCAGAAATTAGCTACAAATTTCGCAATAACATTTACTCTTCGCTAATTCGGGAAATGCTATGTAAAATCTTGATCTATATCATTTCTTATTTTGACAATATGAATCTGATTTTTATATCTCTCAGATCTCTCAGATATTTTAACTTATATTTTTCATAATTTCCTTTCTCTTTCAATATATAAAATGAAGACACGACATAAGAACCAAATTGTAATGAGGTATTCAGCAAACGCTATAAATATTTGAATATAACCATCTTTATGACGGAATGCGGCTTTATGCTCGATTTCATTTATTCGACGTAACTACCTTACCTTCTTGTTTAATAGTCAAACTAAAATTATTAAAAGCATGCCATACCGTCTTTCATCCGTAGAATCATCTGAGAGTTCTCAACCGTGGAAAAGTAACCACCGTCCTGCGAATCCCAGAATAATCGGTCCTGAATATCTTGTAACTCCTCAGCAAACTCAAGCCATTGCGCATCGAAATTAGCCTCGTACAAATCGAGTAATCCTTTCACGACGAATGCGTAATCGTCATGAAAGCCGTGGATCGGAACGCTCCTAAAAATAATATCATAAACCTCAAAATGTGTGACATTGACATTGAAATAAATAAATCTGCACTCACGTTTGCATAATTCTATCGTCTTCCCCGCGATAACAACTGCGAAGTAGTACGCCTTTATTTTTATCAAACAAATATTGCTTCACGAATTTGGCAGCGTCTGTCGCTAATTCAACATATTTATCATTTCTCACAGCTGCTCCAGCACGTGCAAAACCACTTATCATAAGGCCTACAAATAAATAGATTTGTTAGACCTGGTTCAAAAACATGCGTCGCATGAAATATATAACGATGACGAACATCATTCATTATCGACATGATTCATTACCATTCCATGCTGTGACGATTTTGTCATCTAAATGAGGCCGCGGTCTCTTCGATCTTTCTTCAAACAAGATCTGACAAGCTTCTTTAATGTAGCTTTTAGTATTCTCTACACTAATGCCAAAATGTTCCGCGGTTTGCTCTATGCCGTCATACACGATAAATACATTTTTGCCAGTGAGTTCACCATGAGGATCCTATGCCAAAAAATATTCGCAAATCTTATTTTTTATAAATATTTATTTTTATAAATATTTCTTATTTTATAATTTTGATTCTAACGTACTTGAGCCTTTCGCACATTTCCTTCCTTCTTCACATTAAAATGATAGCAGATAAGATCGGAAAATCGAACGTTATCATTGCCAGGTATTTTCTTATCTAAAAGAGTCTTAACTTCCTTATAGGGCCAAACATAAAATGCGCCTTCTCGTTTTGCTGAAGCCTGTGGCTCTGGGAGTGAATCGGCATCTTCTGCACTGTAGAAACCACCTTCCTGAAGAGTATACATGATATAAATATTAATATTCCCCTTGTCACTATTACATCTTTGAAAATTAAAAGCAATATGAATAATACTTTGTGTCGCAAATCCCGCACAACGTATGTCGCGATATCATCTACAATATCAGAATAGAATGAATCTTTTGTAATAACATAAGCATCAGCATAGGCTTGTATTATTTGAGCTTGATCGTAGAGCATTTTTTCGAAGTGAGGAACATGCCATTCACCATCCACAGAATACCTAGAGAATCCCTGAATATGAAAAATAACTATGATAATTTGATTTGCGCAAAAAATAATCAGCAAAAGAGTGAAAAATAGCCTTACTTGTCCCACATGATCATGAATTCCACCATAAGCCATCTTCGTCAGAGTATGCAGACACATTTCTAAACACTGCTTACGCAACTCAGAGGAGGTACTTAAAGCATATGTACTGAAGAGAAAATTAAAATTGACAGGTTCAGGAAATTTTGGTGAGTTCATCCAGGATCTGCTGCTAAATCCACCGAATTTCGGCTCGTATCCGTTTGCTAGAAGATGAACGCATAATAAAGCGCATTCAGCCGTGGGGAATCCATCGTCTTTCTGCAAGACCACAAAAATAAAATAAATCAAAATCGGATAAAAACACAACATAGAAATATTTAAATTCTCGAAATTTTTAAATCTTACTTACTTTTAAGCCTTGTTTGCACTCAACAATATCCTTTAGGCGTTCTACTATGTTAGCAGCGGATTTTATTATGTTGCTCTTTTGCTGCGTCCACTATAATAAAGAAATTTAGAAGCCTAATTTCGAATAAGATTAAATTTAAACATGACAAATTATAAATGTGAATTTTCTCGACACGTGTTAAGGTGAGAATATTTATATGAAATGTAAGTATCATGTTTTGCACCTCCTTCGCAACTGCTAACAAGAGCGATTTAAATCCTATAAGGCCATATTTGCCATCTGGCGGGAAATATGTTCCGCCTGTCACAGGCATTAAATCCGGCGATAGGAAAACACTCATTGGCCAACCACCATGACCAGACTTTGCCTATAAAATAAATATATATATTTCTATCTATATATGCATTTCATATAATTATATACGTGTAATATGTTTAATAAGCTCAATATTTTTATATTTGATATATTTATATACAGTCGAATTTTTTTTATCAATAAGCTAATATTAATTGTATAAATAGAAAATATATTTTGCTACTTATTTTCTGACTTCGTATACGAAAGGCAACAATCAATTCGATAATACATACCTGAACGAACGTCATATATATTCTGTCAATATCGGGCCTCTCTTCCCTATCTACTTTGATATTAACAAAATTTTCGTTCATGATTCGCGCGATGTCTTCGTTTTCAAATGATTCCTTCTCCATCACGTGACACCAATGACATGTAGAGTAACCAACTGATAGGAAAATGAGTTTGTCCTCCTTTTTCGCTTTTTCTAAAGCTTCATCGCCCCAAGGATACCATTCTACGGGATTAGTCGCGTGTTGTAGTAGATACGGCGACTTTTCCAAGCTCAAACGATTTAACTTCTTTGCACTAGAATGACTGGTATTCTTAGCGCTACTCTTGGATGTCGATGCCATTCTGACGGATAGTAACAGGGAAAGCGATGAATTGCGATTTGATCTGTTTCACAAACGTATTTCTTAACGTAAATTTCAATTTTTTAAATATAACTTTAAAATCAAACAAATCTCTAAACTTGATTTCTCTTATCATTAACATTTACAGTATAAAAATTATAAGTTCTGAACGAATTGAATTTGAAAAAAAAAATAGTTTCTTTCCTCATTTAACTCATTTGATGAAATTGCTTAATAAATTTTGATCTAATTAATTTTTTGAAATGTGAAATATTTAATTACATATAAATATCGCATATATTATAAACCATATCGAGGAATAGTCTTTATTCAAATTTATCACAACTTATCTTTCTAAAATTTATAATATAAATCTTATAAGACGCTCCTTTTATTAATAATTTATTTATATATATTACTCTAATTTATATATATTTATATTTATTAGATATGTAATTTTTGAAAGATTATTTTTTAAATTAAATATATAATTATAATAAATAATTAAATATATGATTACGTGTGTATGATTCGACCTGTTAATGTGTTGTCCGACGATAGGAAGAAGAGTACTTTCGATTAAATGAAAACCAGTACGACATCCGTATTGCACTGCGCTGCACCGTTTTTTAGATATCTCAGATACGTAGCGGACTGTTGATAAGAAATTGCATCTTCCCGAAGTCATAACACGATTGACATGGAGAGTATGCACTGCAAAAATCAATCTTATATGTACGTTATATTGCTAAATAATTATTAACTAACTAATCGAACTTAAATCAAATTAAATTAAACTGTTAAATGAACTTAATATTATTATATTGTACATAACAATGATGCTCCTTTCAATAAGAATTTTAGCAATCAATTATACATTTTAAATTACATTTCAATAAAAACATTAAAATGTAATAAAAAAATTAATTTTAGTTTATTTATAAAATTAAATATTCATCAGCCAATACAATAAATTATAAAAGAAATTTTTTTAATAAAAAGCATATGAAGAAAATCTTAATTCTCTAGAAAAGTCTACTTTGAGAAAATCTTATAATAAATAAATAAATCCAAATAAAGAAATCCGATTGCAATCGCATACATATATGAATATAAATACTCAAACTTTTTTTATTAAATAATATTTATCAATGCAAATAAAATAGTTATTTTTATTTAAATATGCAAAAGCGTATAGCGCCACTACTCAAGCTTAAAATAATCTTAAATTGATCAAGCTTAAGATAAATTTAAAATCCTTTTTCTCCCATATTCAAAATCGCTCTTTTTAATATTTTATTATAATAGTGCGAATTAAATTATTAGATATATATAACAATATATATATATATATATATATATATATATATATATTCAACTATTTTAATACAGGTTAATTCTATTTATATTCGAGCATATATAGATAAAACAATAGAGAGTTTAAAAAAAAGAAGTCTACTGCGCGCGAAAAGCAAGTATATTTTAGAAATATTAATATTAATATATATATAATAAATATAAAAATGAAATATACAGTACATTACAAACATTGAAAATTGAAATACGTTTTAATATAGATTTGAAATCTGTCATCAAACTTAAGATCGCGAGTTGTGGAACACCCGGTAGGTGCCAAATAAAAAAAAAAGGCAGATCATTCTACGCAGTAGCGATTATCGCACCGTGAATCGGCGGTTCTCGATATAATGAGCCAGTTGTAGAATCGTGAAATCAAATCTAAAAAGCGTAAAACTATTCAATCTCGTGCCGTGCGAGATTAGATAAAATCTAATATCCGCCAATTTAAAGAACGGCATATGTGTATTGTATGTACATACAAAGTTCGCAGAGTGTGGTCCGTTAGAGATCCATGTTCCTCAAATTTTTTACTGAATTATGCTGCCAGAGGGCGTATACATTAATTCCGGCGCGCTTTTATGATATGTGTACATTAAAGAGCTCTTACAATGCGCGTAGGAAATTACGTAGGAAATCAGAGAACACACTGTGAATTATCATTAGTGTGATAGATATGAATTTATCATATGAATGTTAACATGAGTATGAGATGTCTCTTTTTCCCCTCACTAGATAATAAATTTTACATAATAAAAATGATAAAAAGTCTTATTTAATGTTAATCGAGAATTGTTAAAATACGTTATATTATAATATACATTATATTATAATATTATTTCAGCCGGATTTATATATATATATTTGATATATATAAAACGTAAAGTATATTACACGCAATCATTTATTTTAGTAAAACTACTTCACACTAGGAGGCTTATAAATCATATGTATTCTCGATATTTAAATATATCTAAACATTGGATAGAGATTTTTAACATGAGATCGATGTTGGAGCGAAGTAAAGGTTGCGCTGCAAAGGCTACGATGTTCGGATCCTCGGATCTCTGCAAGTGGTGTTTACAAGAACAACTTATTCTTCGCTCCAAAATTATGTTATTATGTAGAACGACTGTTAAATTTTAAATATATCTGTCTGCTTTTGTATCATCGAAAATATCGAAAGTGCAAGTTGAGATCTCAAATCGAAAATGTTCCGAAGTTAAAGAGAGCGGGAAAGAGATCATCTAACCTGATGTAATAGCGATGTCTTATAGTCGGAAATATCCACATCTTAGAATGACAGCTACGTCTCGCGGTCATACAGATCAACAAGCACCAAGGATTTAAAAGACTAGCCACGTGCGTCCGTAGCTGTCATGCACTATTTACGTTTTCAGAGGATCCAAAAGACCAAACGCTCGTCGTGCTCCGAAAATAATGAATGACTGTGAATCAATACATAATAGATATACATATAAATAATACATACTCCGTGAACTATCGCGCGTTCCGAAAGACATTCTCCCATGTCTCTCTCATAGGCTTCAAAATCCAAAATAAGTAAATTAGTGCAAGAAAGATAGGAATCATTTTCTCTTTCGAAAAATGTGAAAAATATGCATTCAATATTCAGTTGCTTTTTTTATATATGAATAAATATATACATGTATGATAATAATCTTTCTCTTTTTCACATTACTGACAGTATAAAATTCCTATCGGGGCTTACCTAGGAAATTATCTTTTGATAGTGGTAGTCCTGAATTCGGAACTTTCTGTTTTCGTATACAAGATCTTTAAAGTCAATTCAGTATTCAAGGTTAGTCCATATTTGTCACTTCACAATTTTCTACATATTTCACATAAATAATGCGATAAAATTGGGAAGACATTTTTTTCTGATATAATTAGATCAGCAATTTGTTAGGAGAAAACTCGACAAACGCGTATCGTGGTGACGACACGCAACGAGAATGGCAGCCATACACCGGGAGGCGATACAAAAACAAATTCAACAGGACTGGGCTAATCGCGAATACATAGAAGTTATCACTGGCAGTATCAAAAAAATTACGGATTTTCTGAATTCTTTTGGTAATTTATCACATTCCAAATTTCTATTCCCGTTTTAGTCAATATATATATATATATATATATATATATATATATATATATATAAAATTTCATAAAAGAATACTTTTAATACTCTCTTATATCATATTCAATATGATTTTTTCTTCTTTAGATATGTCTTGTAGATCAAGAATAGCAGTCCTTAATGAAAAGCTCACCACTCTTGAACGAAGAATCGAATACCTAGAAGCATGTGTGAGCGATTCTTCATATATATTTACATTTAAATTGAAGATAGAAAGTAATCTGTTTTACTATTAAATATAAAGTATTTTACTGTAAATTTTTTAATTGAATGATATTTGTCAATATATTATTCTTTACAGCTGTTAACAATTCTATATTTATTTAACAGGTCACAAAGGGTGAAACGCTGACATGATTTTTCTTCCAAGTATGCACGGATATACCCTTTTACAATTCTTTTTATTTACTGTACTAGAACATGGATAAATACACAGGATGAAAGTGAAAGATACATCTTTTGTACCTCTTTATGTATCATCAATTACAGATATATATATATATATATATATATATATATATATAACATTTCATTTAATTTTATGTATCAGAAATACTAATCTTTTACTTTATGTATATAAGATCATTATTGCCAGGGTCTACGTCCCTTAGGATCTTTGATCATACTAAAATCAATGGGAAAAGTAGTATGTTGAGTTAATATTTTAATGTCTGATGCAAAAGGTTTCCATCCATTGAAATCGCTATGTTTCTTAAGCATGGAGCACACAATCAATGCAATGGTAAAGCTATGACTCTTTACAGCACATCTCTGCCATTGATAGAAGACTCCACCTGTAGCTAATGCTGTAGCAAGTAAATAAAATTTGATAAATCTTTCCATTAATGTTATTAATACATAATTTGCATCTGATATACATTACATACAAGCCAGAAAATAATTGGCATAACCATCTTTTCCTCTGATTTTTGTCACTGTATACGCCACAGAAGCAAAAGTGGCACACATGGCAGTGATAGGTATCACCCAATAGGACATGGTATTTACTGTATTCCAGAAAGTGAGTGTCTGAGATACAACTATACAATCATATGCGCCAATTAGAGTACTACTGCAAAGTCCATATTTACTCAGCCCGAACACTTTTTCAAATGGCTGTTGGCCTTCAGGCGCAGCGCTGTATTTCCAATTCTTTATGTAATCTAATAACATGGTTAAGCCTAAAATACAGTATTGTTATAAATGAATATTCTATATAACAATAATAGGTTTCTACAAATATTCTTCATATCCTTTTTGTACTACTGTATTTTAGTATTCAATAACAAATTATTAAGTGACAATCGTGATTTGTCAATCTTATAATACACACACACACATGTATTAATTGATAAATTTTGAGTTGATATAAAATTTAAAAAAAATATAGCAACATAATGTTAAAATATAACATCGTTTTGGGATCAATAACTACATATCTGTACGCACCGCGAATCGTCAGATCTCACCAATTTAATTCGCCATAAGCAGACAGGTTAATCTCAGGTTATGTCACCCCGAAAGTGAAAAATACATCCAATGCAACCCAGTGTACAATACACGAACGTCTCTCTTACAAGACGGTAATAATTGTCAATTATTTACACTATATTACGTAACATTAGCTGTTCATTCAAGTTTCTTACTCGAACAAATCGTACAATAATATCGTGAATTGCTCTCGAAAGTTCACTCATCGAAATGGAACGGCGTTTAATCGACCAATAAGATGCAAAGTTTCTTTGCCCTGATTGGTCAAAACGCTATTCTTAGTCACAAGTAGATTTTCGAACACATCGATCATACGTGCTTCCATTTCTAACTTATTTCTCTTTAAATTTAATTTCACATTCGTCTTATTCATAAAATAAACATAAAAAAGAAAATAATAAATAAAGTTGGAGTTTAAAGCTTTATCTCTCTATTATATAATTTTTATTTCCTCGATCAAAAGTTCCTTTACTTTTTGCATGTTGCCAACTGTCAAAGTTTAGATATTTCATGATTAAGGGAGGACAGAGGAGAAGATAGGTCAGTGTCAAAAGGACATTTAGATTTTTAAAGTGTTTTGTACATTGTAATTGTTGTAATTATCGCAAAATGTTGCATGTAATAGCGAGGCGAGTATCTTTACAGGTGTGTATTAGGAATATTTAATTAAGTCACATTTCGTTGAAATTGTTTAGTTTATTCAGAAGATTGTAACCTCTCTGCTTCAAACATGCATTTATTACTTTCAGGGAATAACAATTGTTCCTTTACGAATGTTCAGTGCAGAGGCTTCGAGTGTTAATCAATTTACTGTGAATACCAATGTATCAGGTCTCAGCGAAAATGTCGTCAAAGTACCAAGCACATGTAAGATTAAATGTTGTTATGTCTCACAAAGTGTTTGCTATGACATTAAAAAACTACTTTCCAAACTTGAATTTATATAGCTGTAGGACCTGGTGCCTCCAAAAATACAGAATACAAAAATCCCGAGTATTTCTGTTACCATGTGGCATCATTTGGAGAAGCTGAAGTAGAATTAGCAAAATATAGATTACCAGCACCATCTAATAAGAAACCATTTCATAGATAAATAAAGAATGAGGTCTTACAAGTAGCGAAACAAAAATAATTATATAAAATATAAAATATTAATTATACAATTATATTAATTACATAAAATATAAAATATAAATTATATAAGAATAAAAAAATATATATATATATATATATATATATATATATATATATAAAATGGAATGGTAACGATATCTACTCAATTAGAGTATTATGTAATTTTGAATGAATCAAAATTGCTATACGCTATAAAAAAAAATAGATGTAATATATACATATTACTCATCTCTATATGATTTACTTATTATTTGTTACATTTTTTTTTTAGAAAAATTATATATCTGTTGAAAAATATTGCTAAAATAAAAATACATATAAAATGAATTTAAAAATGTATATATAGAAAAAACGGGATAATACTATGTATATCCGCAAAATTTTCGACGCAAATTATTCCTTCGCGAGTTTTAAAATACGAGCATCGTGAATGAGTCGGTTGAGAATCACTGATTCATTTACGTAAGATTACGAACTCGTCCGAAACAAATCGGACTCGGCCGAAGTGACTGCGGTCCCTCCTTATCGTGAATCTCAGCTGACTGTTCACGTAGAAACGTGGTCGTCCATATGTGATTTTTTGGTCCATATAATGAGCAACATGTATATATATATCGATATCGGCGTCACGTAGCGATGTGGTGATCACCAAGCGACAAAGCGCTAGATGTGCGTCCCGAAAGAGCGACGTGACGTCGTCAAGACGACACTATCCGGGATCGAAGTTCAAGGACGTTAATCGTTCGCTAATCATTCGATCGTTCGATTGTTGATTTACCTTCTGTCCCTTTTTTTTCTCTCAGATATACAAACACCGTTAACAGATACGACGCGCCACGAGACTCGGTGCGACTCGTCCGCCCTCGTTCGTGTCCGCGTGTTCGTTTACCTTTCGCGAATCGGGATCTCGGGCGTGTTCGACTCTTACTTCTCGTTCGAGGATACGGTGGCAGTAATACCTCGATACACCTGACATACCCGACATGTCGTCTGTCGCGCGGAATCGCCTCTTATCAGCGCTCGGCGTCGCGCGACGTGTCACCGTCGAGCACGCGCGCGTCCCGCGGCGCGCGTGCTCTTCTATCCATCACAGGAATGCGGCATACCGCAGGTGAGATTCTACACGTAATTGCGGCAGATTTCTCTCAAGTCCGAAAAAAGAAAGTTGGAAAAGTACAGTTTGCATTACGTTTTTCAGCAAGAGACAACTGACACAGTGTAAGGCTAATGTTACATTTGTCGTACGACAAATTTTTGGAGCACATTGATTTGCGGGATAGAAAATTTCTAAATCAAAAAATTATTATCAATCAATCAATGTACTTAAAAAATTTGTCGTACGACAAATGTAATATTAGGCTAACACACTTGATCCTTGTTGGTTGCCGAATATAAACAAGGTTCATATCACATGAAGTGATTCGCTGATTACACTGTTCTTGCTGAAAAATGTCCATTATTTGTAATTCCGTCCTGAAGAATAATGGCTCGTCGCAAACAATGTTTTATCGCTGACATTTCCATGTAAATTAAAGCGATTACTGGGTGTTTTTCAGCAAGAGACACAAGTGCAAGGCTAACATTTGTCGTACGACAAATTTTATAAGCACATTGATTTGCGGGATAGAAAATTTCTAAAGATTCAAAAAATTATTATCAATCAATTAATGTACTTAAAAAATTTGTCGTAATATTAGGCTAACATATTTGGTCCTTGTTGGTTGTCGAATGTAAACAAGGATAAAATGATTCGCTGATTACACTGTGCTCTTGTTGAAAAACGTCCATTATTTGTAATTCCATCCTGAAAAATAATGGTTCGTCGCAAACAATATTTTGTCGCTGACATTTCCATGTGAATTAAAGCGATTACTGGGTGTTTTTCAGCAAGAGACAATTGACAGCCCGATCCACTCGCACCCCGTTTGTTGTCAATCAAAGATTCTATCATTGTTTATAAATATACACTACGCGTCAATAATTCGTTCCGTGTTCTTAGCGAAGGTTGGTAATATCTATCCTTTTCTAATGCATAGGATTCTTATACATAAGCAAAGGATAAATATTGCCTGCTCTTCCTAGGCAAATGGAACGAAACATTGACGGGCAGTGTACGTATTCGCACACTATGGGTAATGCTTAATTGTCGATTTGGTCTCGCTCCGTTCTCGCTCTAACAACGATGCGAAAGAATATTTTACCGGAGCGTGAACTTGTCTGGATTCGCACCAATAGTGTGAATAAACTTTCAGTCAATCCATCATCAATAGGAAAGTAAAACCTACACTGATTGAGACCGAGAACGAATCGTGAAAGAAGCAGACAGATAGTGTGGATCGGGCCTAATTATTAAGCTTATGATAATGTTACTGTCAAGGTCATGCAAAAATCAGTAAGATATGTACATCGCATGATTGTCATTAAGATGATGACATAACTGAGTCTTCTATTTTTCCTTCCTTTTATTTTTTTCTCGTTATTAATGTATTTTCAAAGATACACTTGCATGAGACAGCAATATTATGTGACACAATATATTTGAAAATCGCCGCGAGCTTAATGTATATAAACAGCTGTGTGCTATTGATCCTTTGTTGATCTTTTACGCCACGTTCATCTTGAACGATAATGTTAGGAAACAATTTTTAAAATTAGCATGTGAAAAGACATGCTTAGATGAAAGTAGAGTTTTTTAACCAGAGATCGGACAATGTGCCGCCAAAAAAAAGGTAAAACCGGATATGATGTTTTTTTTACATTTTACAGGATTAGATAAGTTTGATTAGATATATCTTCTCTCTCACATTTATATATCCTTCTCTTTCGCATTTCTGATTTTATTTCACGTGACACGAGTCAATCAAGAATTATTGACCTAGCTATTGTCTGTACTCTAGACGTAAACACTATAATAAGCGAGATTATAAAGGTTGAAAGAGCATCTGCATGGAATGTATTTCATGTCTGTCTTCCATGATGAACAGTACTCTGAGTAACTCTCTCTGGTGATAATTTCTTGCATTGTATAAATCTTCTGTTAATATAAAGAAAGACTGTTTTGTTAAAAAATAACTCGAACATTTGTGTACATCATTGTATAAAAAAATAGAAAAATAATTAATTATACATAATTATTTTTCTGAAACCAGTGTGCAATTTTTATTGATCACGTTTGGTCGACACACGAATTTCATCGTCCAATTACAACAGGTAATATAATAGATGTATGAGAATTAACGGAGCAATTTGTGAAGGTCAATCGAGGAAATAATTTATTTTATCAAAAAATTCCATTAAAATTTGAAATTTTATTTATATATGTCGATATACAGCATTTTCCAAAAGAGCAAATTAAAAATCTCTTAATTTCATATAAATAAACATCCCAGCAAACATCAATTAACAGATTTATATAACTGTTTTTTATAACAGATTTATATAACAGATTTATATAACTGTTTTTTATAACAGATTTATATAACAGATTTATATAACAGAATTATATAACTGTTAAGTATAGTTTTCCACTCGACAAACATAAGTGTTAAACATAGATAAATGAAATCAGAAGATATTCAGGAATTATCTCATCAAGAATTCATTTTTATATGAAATTTTATAACGAGGAAAAGATTTTATGAGATGTATCTAATATTATAATCTAACAATTTTTTCCCTTTCTGTCTCACATTATTTCATGATGTATTTACGTATTGTAAAATGTAAATTTTCAGGAATATCTTATAACAAATATTGCAAATGTTTCATAAAACCTTGATTTTATGCAATGGAAAGAGCGGGAGAGAGATAGAGAGAAAAACATCGCCACGTTCGCTAGGATTATTATAAGAGTATCACTATTCCTGATCCATAATGAGCGTACATGTCCAGAAATGTCTCAGTGTAAGTTTGCTTTCCAACTTACACTGAGAAAGATGGTAACAATACTGTAAAAAGACCGGATTTTATTTGTCCTGTAAGATAAAAGTATTAAGATGCGGCCAAACTTTTTTTATGGATAAATAAGGAAAAGAATAAAAGCGGCAAATAATGTAATAAATATATCGAATAAATTGGAAACTAATAATATCAATTTATCGATTTTAATAATTTTACTACGACTACTAAATATGCGAGATATTTCAATTCTACTAATTTTATGCTATTAATTTTATCGTTAAAAAGTCATCTGTTACATTTACTTCATGAATTGGCTAACGACAATGATATAAATAAAATATATAAGTAAATTGAAAGCCTAAACGGAGCAGATCCTGTTGCTTTGAATCGATAAGCTATTGTGGTCGATACACGATGAGCATTTCGACTAATGGATAAGAATTTTCTTTAGTAAAAAGTATCTTCTTTATCGTTCTTTTTTTAAGAATTTTTTTGTCTCTCGCACAAAGACATTGGTTTTCAATAATTGAATTATGAATTTAAGATTGCTATAAATTATCCATTTATAATTCTAAAAGTCACCTTGAAGATCAGAAGAAATATGATGCTGCAGATTCCAAGTGTGACGTCCCCTAGTTGAGTCTTAGTAATATTTTTAAATAATTTGTACAAATTGTCTGCAATATTAGCTGATTTATTATTTTAATCCAAAAAACCCTTGAAACTGAGAAATAATTGTAATCGGAACTAATACGAAACCACCATACATTCTATAGTAAAAATCGCATCAATAATTTATATAACTATTATAGTAGATGCATTTATTTGTTTGTAATGCAATAAAGAAACTAATTTATTTATATGAAATTAAGAGATTTTTAGTTTGCTCTTTTGGAATTATAAAATATTTTATAAATAAAATTTCAAATTTTAATGGAATTTTTTGTGAAATAAATTATTTCCTCGATTGACTTTTACGAATTGTTAAAGTGTGTGATGTATATATGTACATTTACATAGATTGTTTTTTCAAGGAAAAATTTATGATAATTGTAAAACTTTATAGATCATGACTCGTGGCAACAATAAACATGATAACATATGTTTTTTTTAAATACCTGACTTATTTTTATGATATTCCTTGCAAAACATAAAAAGCTCATCAAAATCAGCAAGCAATACTTGAGATTGGAATGCTTTGTTAGATGATAACGCTGTGTGTGCTTCCTGACGTACTCTTCGCTTGTTTTTTCAGATATCCTCTTTTATACGTATTATGCAATTATGTTATCAAATGGAATATTTTAACTGTTGATAAGTAATTTTTAGCATATCATTCCATGAATACACTTTTCTTAGAATTCTACTTTATCTTACAGTGAACAAACAAAAATTTTGACGCTACTAGAGTTTAGAAAAAGTCAAATTAAAACTATATTTCGGAATATTTAAAACAGTTGATTAATGAAAAGATAAAAATTTTTTCTTTATTGATAAAGATATTATAAAAAGAATTTTTTTTAATATTCAAATAAATAATATATTATCAATAATTCAGCTTTAATTATAGTCAACATAATTTTAATATAAACAACTTTTTAATATTAAATTAAAATATAGTGCTTCTATATTTAAATTTCCTCATTATATTAAATAGAACTCATTAGACAAAATTTTGTCTGATATATTATCGAGATAATATTAATTTTTTCATACGTTATTACTTGCGTTTAATAAAACAGATTAATAAAAATGAAGATTCTCTCCTATTCGTTTCGTAGAGTAAAGAATAGCTATAAATTTTGAATCTTTATTTTCATTAAAAATGGAATACTAGATCAAATTGCACTTACTAATGCAGAAAAAAATAAAAAACGGAATTTCCTGCTATAAATTTACATTTTATCAATCTATATCGCATATATGTGATATGGTATGCGCAAAAATAAAAATAAAGAGGATATCTCAGAAATTTATTTACTATGTTTCAGAAATTCATTACTATGTCATGAAGATATGTAGATATAGATTCCATTATCTCCAACAAGATTTCAATCAATCTCTCGTAGATTCGATGATAAACTTCCACCATCTATATTTATCGCCTTGATCATGATATTAATAAACTCCTGCTTACTTAAATTAGGAGCGCAATGTATCCGTGTTTGCGTGCTGCGGCTAATCGCAATCTTTATGATCTCTTGGGCGCTTATTTCTTGTTCCATTTGTTCATCTTCGCTTCGCTCGAGGAACTCGCCAAAGTTACTGCATTACAATGCATGTTCAAAGAAATAACTAAACAAATCGCTGTCTAAATGTAAATAACAAACATGCGCGTAAAAATAAACTGTAAAATTAATATCTGTATAGTAAACTTTTTGTAATAAATTGATATCCGATATTTGATACGACATTTATATTCATTTATATTCATTTATCTATTCTGTTTGCTGCGCGCGCGCGCGCGCCCACACACACACACACATACATACATACATACATACAATTATAATTAATCTCGCTTATATAATTAAAAAAAAATTATTAAAAAATTTATTATAAATTATTATAAAAAAATTATATAATTAAAAAAAAATTCTCTTTATATTATCATATTACCGAAATTAATCAATTCTAAATTGCATAAAATAGCGAAAATATTTGAATTTTAAAAATACATTCTATTATCAATTTATCACATTTTATGTAATCTATTGTGATACTAATATATTGAATCTTGAAGATATTATGCAATGTCAAATTTCACATATATAAATTATGTGATGATAGATATACCTTTTTAACATTTGCATCAATATACTTGCACGATTTTCCTTATTTGTATGTTCGAAATATATACAGAATGGATTACAATATGTACGGAGTTAAATTAAAAACCATGACATTTACATGATAATCGCACGAATTCAATGCGCAGGCTCGCAATTCAATTGATACAAAAGATATATACATATGAGTACATTTTGTTATTCTAATTTACATACGAATATATATATATAACCAAGAATAGGTTTATCTTTAGTTAGTTTCGAGCTTTCTTGAGTTCCGATAAAACCTAAGTTCGATAAGATACAAAACACAGAAGTTACCAAATGTAAATTCTTTCAGAATTTTCTTTTAACGATTTTTTTTATTAAAGTTTTTCTCATGTATAAAATTTTCATTATAATATTTTATTTACCCACATATATAAATGATAATATTATTATTATTTGTTATTTGTTGAAATTACAAAGCTTTATTAATTTTTCTAGAACAATGGATTCTACAGCGCGAATGGCTCATTACGCGACAAAACCGATATTAATAAACAAGGATGAAACTCGTGAATTGATGGCCATATGGCCAGATGTTGTTCGTGATATCACGGATCCCGAGGTCTTTGAAATCCCAGATATTTCAAAATGGATGGCAAAAGTAAGTGTGTATAATACAATATATACAAAATAAAATCACAAAAATATATAAAAATTTTCTAATGAGAGATTTTAGTCTAATAATATAATATATAAGTGTGGAAATTTATATAAAAGTGAAACACACACACACATATAATCGACATAAAACTGAAACTAATTAATAAAACTGAATATAAAATTAAAAAATAAGTGTTTTACTAATATTTAAAAAACTACAATATTAAGATTAAATAAAGCAACAAATCAAATTTGAATGAATATGCAGATTAATATATTTCTGTTATTGTTCAGGTATTGCAGTATAATGTTCCAGGAGGAAAAAAAAATCGCGGTTTAGCACTAGTTTATGCCTATAAATTGCTGGTACCGAACGATCAACTTACAGAAGAAAACATCCGCTTAGCACGAATTCTAGCATGGTGTGTGGAACTGGTGCGTGATTTTGTTCTCATTTACATGACACTAATATGTATCTCACATAAAGTAATTCAAAGCAATGTAACAATTAAGATGAGACATGAAAACACACTTGTAAACTCGAAAGATAAAAAAATGTCATAACTCAGTTATTTTGAAAAATATCCATTAAAAATATATAAAATATCTACATTTATCTTATAAACTTCATAAATAATGATTATAATAGAATGTAGGTTTTAGTAATGTAAAAATATTTTTTTCATTAAGCTTATTTCATTAAGCATTTAAACATTATTTAAAAATCGTAATATATTATAAATAATTTAAAATTATAAAAACGTAAGTTTTTGTATGTGTATGTAATATATTTAATATTTATGCAGGCACAAGCTTTTTTTCTGTTGCTCGATGATATCCAGGATCGATCATTATTTCGTCGAAACCAACCATGTTGGTATCGTCATAATGATATAGGTTTAGCGGCCGTTAATGACGGTACATTGTTAGAGAATGCTTTGTATTTTTTAATTCGAAAACACTTCAAAGGGAAAGAATGTTATATCGATATATTAGAAACTTTTCAACATGTAAGTGCAAAGATATTACAAAGATATCTTTTTCGATCATATATATTAATATAAAAATATTAATTTTCTTTTCTTTTGAAATTTAATCATATAATTGTATTTATAAAAATATATTATTTGGCAGATTATATTGATGACTGCAATGGGCCAGTCTTTAGATTTACTCTCTACTAATTTCGGGAAAAAGCCGAATCTGAATCTATTTACAATGGATCGATACAATTCTATTGTCAAATACAAATGTTCATATTATACATTTATCTTACCAATAACTGTAGCAATGCATTTTGTAAGTATACTTGAGTTTTTTTATATGTGAACTTTACTTTGTGCTTTTTAATAATAATGCACCATGTGATACATTATATAGGCTGGAATAAAGGATCCAGAAATGTTGAGACAAACGAAAACGATTTTGCTGGAAATGGGGCATTTCTTTCAAGTTCAAGATGATTATCTGGATTGCTACGGAAAGCGTGAAGTTATTGGCAAGGATAGTACTGACATACAAGAAGGAAAATGTACATGGCTGATTGTTGTGGCACTTCAACGTGCTACACCAGAACAGCGTAAAATTTTAGAAGTTAGTATTATTCCCTAAACGAATTGCTTTATCAAATATGTTGCATTAATCATTTTGTTTTTCTCTTTTTTATTACACAGGAATGTTATGGAGTATCGGATCTAGAAAAAGTGCAATGTGTGAAACAACTATATAATGATCTAGGTTTGCCAAACACTTACTCCATATATGAAGAAGAGACATATAATCTATTAAATACCCATATACAGCAAATATCACGTGGGCTACCACATGATCTTTTCCTGAAGTTATTGGATAAGATTTATCGTAGAGTGTCATGAAAAGTGTCACTACATTCAAGAAAAAAACCAATGTGTATCCAAATTGTAAAATTAAAATCAATGAACACGAAGATGTGTTGCAAATATTTGAGAAAATATCTATTTTATTATTTTATTCTAAATATCTATTATTCTTAAGTAAGATACATTAGATTATTTATAAAAATCTTATATACAATATTTCATATTTTAATTAAGACGACAATAAAAAATTGTTAAACATGATCATATTTTTTTTAATGAGAAATTCCTTCTAATGTATATAAAAATCTTCACATTTAGTAAAATTTAAAAAAAAAATTATTCTAGAAAAAAGTACTAATTTTGGAAACAGATTGTTTACTATACATATACATATATATATATATATATATATATATATATATATATATATATAGTAAAAGAATTTTTTAGATTTTATAGATATGATTATATGAAATAATCTATAAAAATTTTTTTTAGATATACATATTACATAATTATCAATCTATTCATTACTGTATACTTTTACATACATCTACCTCAATAAAGTTGAAAAAAAATCTATTTTTTAAATCTTTTAATTTTCTTTTTCTTATTCCATGGCTGATGTTTCCTTTCGTTTGTACGAATTTTCGTACGTACAATCATTTTCAGCTCACGTCTCAAATTTTTAAAATCATCATTTGAAGTAGCTTCTGTATTGAAAAATTTTACAGCCTCTGAAATGCAATTATTCAATCATAGCATAAATATTCTAATTCAATAATTTTTCATATACATACCATTAAATCGAATATCTTCATTATCAAGAAATAGAGTATCTTTATACTCAAATAAGCTATTTGTACAAGTATTTTCATCAATCTTGTCAGCCATTTGTTTATCTGTATCTAGTGCTTCCTGTATTATATCTTCTTCACAATCAGATGAATCATATTTAAATACATTATTTTCATCAAAATTAAGCTTAAATTCTTTAGTTTTATTATTTTCTATAATAGTTCCACTATAATCTTCAGTATTTCCTGAAAATATACATTGAATTAAGAAATTAAGAAAATAGTGTAAAATAATATGAGATTCAAAGGATCGTTGGAAATAATATAATCGACCAAAACTAGCCAGAAATTTTTTGTTTATTGATTACGACGTTCAGTTCGTTGACGAAGTCTCACACCGACACATCGTTTTTATCTCTCAATTTCAAATTTATTAAGATGTAATGATCGTGCAAATGTGACTTGTACATTTTACAACACTATGATTTATATCTGTCATTTGATCTTATTTACTTAAAAAGGATCACAACCATATGGTCGAAATATCGTAATCAATAAACAAAAAATTTCTGGCTAGTTTTGGTCGATTATATTATTTCCAACGATCCGTTTGATTAATTGACTAGCGATATCAAGATAATTTATGTTATTTATTAATATGAGATTGTATATATACACATAAACGTATTTATATTGTTTTTACATAAGTACCCGTATTATCTTCTTCTTTCCTATGTGTTTTTAATAAACTAAATTCCTCTTTCTGCTTCAAACTTTCTGTTAAAGTATCAGATATAGCATAATATATATCCTTTGATACTTCTGGTTCTGGGAGTATAGGTTGCATCTCTGATATAGATTTATCATGTTTTTTCTTTTTAGTATTTTTCTCTTTAATTTTTGGCTGTGATTTCACTTCATATTCACAATGTTCATTTTCAGTTGGATCATATCGTATCATCAATTTCTTTCTATAAACATATAATCATTAAATATTGAATTAGATAATTACAAATGTTACAAATTAAATATTCTTACTTAGCTGTTTTTGTTTCCTGATTTTTTATTGCAAGAGGTGCTCCTAAAATATTTTCTAAAATATCTAACTGCTGTTTCTTCTCTTTTTGCAAATTACATGATTCATTGATGCTTTTGACAAGTTCAGTTTTTTCATTTTCATCTTTTATAAAGCGATCATCTAAAGTAAATCGTGCATCATTACCAAGAATAGTCTGTATAATAAAAATAAACTATATTAAATATCTTTAATTTAAGAGAAATAATATATATATATATATATATATATATATATATATATATTGCAAAAAAACTCTAACTTTTTTATGTTTATTTTCCTTGATATTAAATTCATCGCCATTCCATGGAGAATCTTCACTATCACTATTATTATCAAACAAATCTCTCTTCTTTTTTTTTAACTTAAGATTTTGCTGTTCATCAACATCATCATCAAATATAATTTTCTTACATTTGGTATTATTATCCTACGGAAATAAAAATGTAATTAAAAATACAAAACATTAGATTTGTAAAATAATAAAATTACAAGGAGTATACATACACACACACACACACACATATTTATTAAAAGCTTTATATAAAATTTACCAAGTTTTTTAATGCTTGCTGAATAAGTTGGCCTTTTGCTTTAAATGCCTGTTTCTTCTCCTTCAATGATTGTAAACGTTTCTTTTCAGATTCAGTAATTACACTCATTTTTAAGGCTTACAAAAAAAAATACTGTTAAAGCTTAAGAAACAAACATCTGTAAACACCATAATTAACCTCAATTATCATTATGAATTATGCAGAACAGAGAGAAAACTGAGAGGTGTCATGGCCCGTTTTTAGATGATCTCTAAAAGCGATACTCCCTCTATAGACATTAAAAACGTGGACATGAACTACAAAGTCTCGAATGTTCTCAGAGGATAACACATAATATGCACAATTTCTGGTTTTGTTCCGTGCTATGTGCACTAAATGCCGACCAGTGTTGTATAGCAAAACGCTTATGTATATAAATTAGTAGTAAATAAATTATTCAATCGCGAAAGATACTAAGATAATCTTCCAATGTAATGTTCAAAAATAGAATAAATATTTTTCTATATATTCATTGTCATATTTATATATTTTTATTTACAAACAACAAAATGTCTACTGTGGGATAAAAACATTTTTAACCGTATTCCTATAAATCTTCTTAATTAACAGTAAACTGATTTTTTATTTTTATCAATCATTTTTTAATTATTTAAAAATTTAATTGTTAATATACATATATAGAATTTGTTAAATTAATCACTGATTCTTTTGAAGTTTTTATAATTAAGATTCCAAAAATATAGATGTTGCAAAATATTTTAAATGTCTCTTTTTTTATATAAAATATAAAGAATTCATATGTTCCATTATTCTAATATAGCCAACATTATTTATATATTTTTATTATAATTTTCATACTAGCACAATATTTTTATGCTTAATACTTTATACATATAATACAATGTACTAAATAATAAAATTTAATATAATTACAAAATAGTATCTGAATTAATGAATAGGTTGTACACAAATTGTGCACACACTCTTTTAGTTTCTAATCATTTCCAATCATCATACATTTCTATCCAATATATTCTCTTCTTCGAATTCTTGGATTATTATGGTTTATTATTGTATTCCTTTATGTTAACATCATAAGGATTTGTCATGCTTCCTTCCTATAAAATCCATCGGAATATTTTCCATGGACATTTGTTCTCAGGTATAGATATTCAAATCACTGTAGTTGTTTTTTTCCATTTTCTCGATTATTATCTCTTTTTCTTCCATTTTATTCAAAAATATTAATATACGTATATTGTGTATTACATCCGCGGATCATAATCGATACTATCGAAGCGCACGATGTAATCATTCGACACACGTAGCACAAAAATTAAGACATTCTTTATCGAAGAGTAACAGGAACTTTAATAACTCACAATGTAGCACAATACAACACAAAATGTGAAACGTAAAATATGCGAATAGTTGGAGTCGTTGGAAACGCATCCGAAGTCTGACAGCTCGAATCTCTCTTGTCTGCTCTTTTTTTTTAAACAACTCCTAGCATTAAGGAATGATTCTTAACTTGATTTGACAAGCCGAATTCAGGAACAAAACAATATGTATATATTTATAAATTGTATGTATATATTTATAAATTTATATATTATTAATTTATATATTATATAAATATACATATATATATATATATATATATATATATATATGTATTTATAAAATTTTGGTATCTCTCTTAGTCTGACTCTTTCCCTTTGACCTGTCCGGCATGGGTAACCCTATCAGTAACTGCGAATATTCATATTCTTCTTATATTTAAGATCACCTTAAGTAAAGTTTGAAAATGTCACATGACCATTTTATTAACCGAATGAAATCTTAAGTACTTAAGAGATAATCTTAAATAAAAGAATAATCTACATGAATATCGATGTTATCGCCGGCATAGCTCTCTGGATCATTAGAGTACTCAAACCTCCTCATCCGGCAAAAACCTTCGGTAAGGTGGAGATACTTGAGGAGGAATTTTTTTTTATTTTATTTTTTTAATTTATTACAAAGGTTATTACAAATTTTATTACAAAATTTATTACAAATTTTGTTTACAAATATTACAAATGTATACAAAATTTACAAAATTTATTACAATGTTACAAATATGTGTGCATACATATAATGATACAAAAGTTAATATAAAATATATAATTTGAAGCTAAAATAGTTCATTACATGAGATTACACGAAAATATCGAAAATATCCGTAAAATACAGAATTTATTAAAAATTTTCATATAATTTAGACAAGACTAATTAGCGATTATTGAATTATATGATATTTATTATTAATAATCTATGTAATAATAGAGTTTTATAAGATTTATATAATGTAAACAATCGCGATTCAAAGAGTCATTAATAAATTATCAATGGTCTTTTAAATTGTAGGAAAAAATTGTTGCACAACAAACGTATTTTGTACAATTTATACTATTTGTGCAATTTTGTACTATTAAAGACTATTTAAAGAATATTTAAAACGCGAAAAGAGATAGACAAAGCTTCGATGTAAATCAATGATTAAATTATAAGATAAATCACTACTTAAAATTCGCGAGGAAACGCGATAAATAAATAAATCGATGATATTCGGGACAATTGCGGTATGTATAATTTTTATAATATCGAAGCATACACGCGCGCGATATATATGTAATATGTAATGTTTGCAAATATAAAATTCAAGGTCCGATTTATTCGTGATTAACGCGCGATTTTATACGAATGTCGCGATTGAGAATAACATATATATATATTGTATCTCGTACGTGATAGCTAAATAATATAAAATGGGGATCATGAGTTTTAAAAAAATTAAAAAACCGCGTTATCGCCAAAGTTTCGATGTAAGTTAACGATTAAATTATAAGATTATAAATTGCGACTTAAAATTCGCAAGAAAACGCGACGAATAAATAAATTAATGATATTCGGAATATTCGATTGCAATACATATAATTTTTATAATAACTGAAGAATACCCTCAATAGACACGCGCGCGAGATAATTACTATAACTGTAATTACTATACACAAGACTAAAATACATTTCGCGCATAATTAAAGACTATTAAAGAAAATATTCAAAAACGCGAAAAAATAGAAGAACTTCGATATAAACCGACGATTAAATTATAAGATAAATTGCTATTTAAAATTCGAAAAAACGCGATGAATAAATAAATCGATAATATTTGGAATATTTAATTTCGATATGATAATATATAATTTTTCTAATATAATAATTAATATCCGGTTAATATTCGACAAAAAGGAGAACGATCTTAAAGATGGAGAATAATTAACATCTTGTTTTTATATCAGATTTCGCAAGAACGATCTGCGAAGAAAAGTTAAATGACCCATTAAACGTCAGGGATTCCACTGTAGGAGAGAACGAATCCTGGATCTTCCAGACTACTCCCGATAACAATGATTTCAGTAATAAATCAACGACAATTACCCTCATTGTCATTTAATTCACGATTAAAATTTACGTCAGAAAATATGTTCTATCATTATTAAAAAATATATCTCTTTATTGAAAACCAAATGGATATAATGATTTTTATGTAAATATGATTACGAACAATTATATTTATAAATAATGAAATACATGCATCATTGGAACTTGTGTTAAATGTGCGAATACGTATAATAATTTTGGGGTACCAACTGTTCGCGCGCGCGAGACGAATCAAACCCCATAACAGCAAGATTTAAAAAAATTTCAATTCGAATAATTTGTAAGATAAAATAAATCAAATAATTTCAAATAGTTAAATCTATGTACTACTTTTTTATTATTTTTAGTAGCATTTAAATTAATTTGCCGATATCTTACTGTTATCAAGGTACCCATTCGATTTGTCTCATAATTTTTGTGTACTCGCACATTTTATGTTACATTCATATATATAATTTCGTACGTAACATATGTAATATTAAGAAAAATTATAAAAATTTTTTGGATATGTTAATTTGTGCATGTATTTTATTATACATACATATATAGATATATATAAATTAATGTTCTCTAAAATGGTGGGCTGTCCAACATCTGCAAATAGTTTCTTAAAAGAAACTAAAAATTAATTAATATCCCCAGTACCTAGAAATAATTTCTCAAACAAGACAAGTTATATTAATTAATAAAATATATTCGTTCGTAATCATTTTTATCAAAAAAGTCAATAAAATCTAATTGCAATTTGAAATTACTTGAAAAATAAAAATTTATATACAATAATTATATCCATATGTAATCTACTATTAAGATTTTTTAGTATTAAGACAATAATATGAATAGTAATAATGATAGCACATTTTTCAATGAAGAAAATATGTATTTTTTTCTTTTCTAAATGCATTATTTAAATTAATCCGGATTTAAAGAGGCGTATGGCGTTCGTCGTTGACGTTACTCCGAAATCATTGCTTTCAGGAATTGCCAGGAAAACCTGGGATTAATTACAATCCTACAATGAAAATTCCTAATTTTCAACAGGACATCGAACTAGACGTCGCAAATGGATCTTACAAGAATCGATAATAAATAATTCTCCATGATGAAAATCGTTTCAACTCTTCACCGGTACGAGTCACGCAATTTTTACTAATGGTCACCTCACGAGATGAACAGCGATAAGACTCCTTTATTAAAACGGCAATCTCGTTTAATAAACGCGCGAAGAACGCGGGAAGAACAGTTTTTTTGCATTCTTAATTTATTAATATATTTTACGAATATTATCTGGTACACGAATAGTTCTGACATGAAATTTGTAAATGTATAAATCTGATTAAAAGGAAATTATTAAATTCAAAATTAATTCGCGATTCTATAATATCGAAGACGATTGTTAAATTTTGTTAAATTAATATTTAATCGTTAACTTAACATCGAATCTTCACACTTTTATATTCGACTTTTTTATTCGATATTTTTTTTATATTTAATTAGTAATATTTAGCAATATTACAGGGAGGTACAGTTATAAGATTTTTTAATTAAAACGGCAATCTCATCTAAGAGATTTATATACAAAATGCGAAAAAACCGCGGAAAAAATATGATATTTTCGTAATCGTAATTTATTAATTTACTTTACATTTAGTTCTGATATAGAATTCGTAAATAGATAAAATGAATATATATCATTAAATTTATAATAAATGAAATGCGATTCTAT